CATTGAAACCCATATTTATTTATTTATTTGAGAGAGAGAGAGAGAGAGAGAGAGAGAGAGAGAGAGAGAGAGAGAGAGAGAACAATAGCGAATGCATTTGAGAAAATTAGGAAGAAGATGGGAAACTTAACTGAGTTTGGCTGGATAAAATACTTCTGAAAGATTGGCTAGAGTAAGAGACAATTTGCAAGGTTTCAGGAAAGAATATAGGATGAGGAAACAGGCAAGAATGCCACGACTGAAAAATCTCAACAATTTGTTTACAGGCACTGGGAGACATGGCTTGTTTATCAATCTTGGCTATCATGAACAAAAGCACCATGAACATTCACAGAGTCATTATAAAAGCATAAGTCATCACTTTTCATGGGGACTTAGAAGAGGAAGTACTAGGTTGTATGGTCATACATGCGTATGAGGAATCCTCAAGGTTTTTTACAAAGTAGCTGTATTCTTCTGTATTTCTACCAACAATGCAAGATAACAGCTTCAGTTGCTCTGCAGCCTCACCAACACTTGCTATTGTCTGACTACTTGATTTTAGCTTTCATAGTGAATATAAGCTGCATCCCACTGGGATTCTTTTTTTTTTTTGTGTGTGTGTGTGTGTGTGTGGACAGCTCAGCCAACCCTGGGGGCAAGGCTGGCGTGGCATGTGGTGCTGGGGATCAAACTGCAGTCCCTGCACTTGCCTAAGCAGGCACTTTAGACCGCTGAGCTATCTTGCCAGGTCTAGCTCAGTTGTTCCCCATGAAACAGCTCCCCGCTTGGAATTTAATGTGCATTTTCCTGTGGAATGTCTTTTCATGTGTTTGACATACATCTTTAGGGAAATATCTATTCAAATCTTCCACCCACTTTTTAATTCCTATTGACTTATGAGTTCTTCGTGAATTATTATATAAAGAAACATTCAGGCACATGACTTGCAAATATTTTCTTGCAAATAAATCTGAAGCTTGCCTTTTCTCTTTTATTTCAACTTCAATAACTTCATTGGGATTGTCTTGGTAGCATAATGCATAATTATGTGAAAATTCCACAGGCATTGGAGAAAAAGGATGTATTTTCTGTTTTTCAGTTATTAATTTGTCTATGAGATTTATTTGTTGAGCCATATTAATCAAGTCTGCATGTCCTCATTTACTCACATTTCTGCATGTAAGTTGCACATAATATTTACATGACGTTGGCACACACACACACAGCACATGTTCATGAACCTTTTCCTCTTTTCCTTCCCCTTTTCCTCTCTTGACCCCCTCCCCATCTGAGAAAGATCTAGCTCTCTACTTCCTTAACAGTATTTTAAAGGCCATGATTTTAAATTTTACCAAGTTTAATTTATCCATATATTCTTTATATGGCTTGTATTTTTGTTTCCCATCTATGAAATGTTTGCCCAACTCAAGGTCATATATATTTCATTCTAGAATTTAACAACCAGATCTTACCTTCAGATTTTATATGGAGTTAATTCTTCTGTATGTTGTGAACTAACTGTTGAGTTTATTATTACTTTTAAGTCTCACATGTGGGTGCCTAATTATTCCAGCACCATTCATTAAGAAGATGTTCTTTCTTCATTGGGTTGTCACGGCAACTTTGCTGGGTGTGTTTTTCTTTACCTTTCTGTTGACTGAGGCTTATGGAGTGTCTTAGCTCTCTGGATTTATAGTTTTCATCCAGTTTGGAGAAAGTTTTCCTGTTCTTCCTTCAAATGTTTGGTTTTTGTTTTGTCCTCTGTTTCTCTTTTTAGAATCAGTTACTAGATACGTGTTAGAACATTTGCTACTGTCCTCCATCTCACTGCCTCTCCTTTCTCTCTGAGCACCATTACAGTTTCTCGTGTTATGTCTTCAAGTTCACCTGGGCTTCTTCTGCTGTATCTGATTGGATGTCCATCCTGTGTTGTATGTTTTTAGATGTTGTTTCTCATTTTCAGAAGTTCCATTTGGATCTTTTCTGTATCTCCCGTTTCTTTGGCACGTTCGTGTTTTCTTGAACATAGGAAGTATATTCATGATAGTTGCTTGCATGCCCCACATCTGCTAATTCTTCCAGTTGGATCAATTTTGGGGATATTTCTCTTCACTGATTTTTTTTCTGGAGTCATATTTTCATGCCTGATAGTTTTCGACTGGACATTAGACATTATTATTTTTTTTGTGTGTGTGTTTTTAGGGGACAGTGTAAACGCAGTCCACCACTACCACAAATTACGTAGTTGAGTTTCCCACATCTGGGGAGATCGTAGGGGCCAGCACATCTGGAGTGCAGTGGACGAGTCTCGACCTGGGAAAACCACCACTGTGATCATGGTACTTCCCCTGCCAGTAAGTCTGTAAATTGTGTGTTCTTACTTGCTGGATTTTGATATGTTTCTCTAAGAAAAATAGACTTTGCTCTGACATGGTGCAGGCGGACCCTTTTGAGGACTGTTCTTTTTTTTTTTCCATAATTTTATTGAAAAACAAATAGCAATGAGACAGTTTCAAATCAAATTGGTAGGACAGTTTCAATAATTAACACACTGCATACTCTCTTCCTAGTGGTTATTTGCTGTACAAGATGCAGGAACGATATCCTATTTACAAACACTATTACAACAAATCCCTCTATTCATTAAGAGAATGTAACTATATATCTATCTTAACCATTTTGAATACACAGACACAAAATGGACTTTCATCTGTATCCCCTTTTCTGTTTAGTTCCATCATTTGAATATTATAGGCATGTTTGAGGACTGTTCTTAATATCTGCTAGGACACTTACTATTGTAGCATCCTTTGTTCTAGGTCTAGCGTAACTCTGCTGCTAAGGCTTTCCGAGGACCCTTTCTAGGACTCTGCCTGGTGCTGACCTATTCTGAGGTCTTTCCAGTCTAAATGGTAGGAAGATGAATTATTCCAAGTTTTCTGAGAATACAAGGAATTGTTTAGCTCTTACTTTCTGGAATTCTTCCTTCACTCTTGTAGATTTTTAGCTCCCATATATGCAGCTAAGTATTTAGCCAGAAAGTTGAGGAGACCTTTGCACAGATCTCCAGACCTCCCTCTCCCCACTGATCTGCCCCACAAATTCTAGCCATCTTGGCTTCCTTGAGCACTCTGTCTTCTTTCAGTGGGACCACTGGACGCTGTGTCTCCCTACCCACTGTGGCTTAGAAATGTCCCCACCAGTAATGTGAGGCAGCCCTAGGGCTTACCATACTTGATTTTTTCTTTCTTTTGTTCTACCTGTGTCTAGTGCCTGAAAACAACTGTATCACCAAGTTTGCCTGGCTTTGTAGTTTTCATAATTTTTAAAAAATGTACTTAGTGCTGGGTCTACAGGGTCTCACTACACAGATCAGACTAGTAGTGATCCTCCTGTTTTCAGCCTCCCAAGGGCTGGGATGACAGGCACGTGCCCAGTCTCAATCGCTGTCTCAGCAGCCTCAGGGGCGGGGCCGGCAGGACACACTGGGATGGAACAGCAGTCCCTGCATCTGTGTAAGCAGGCACTTTAATCCGCCGAGCTATCTGGCCAGCCCCCTGTAGTTTTAAGTAGTAGGAGAGTAATGCCATTTCAAATTGACAACATTTAGGCTGTTGCAATTTATTACATGTCAGAAATGAGACAAAAGGAAAAACCTAGCTGATTTTAAGGATATCGCTTTGAATACTTTTATTTAATTTAATTAATTAATTTATTTTTTTGATACTGGGCATCGAACTTGGGACCTTGCCAGGTAGGCACTTATGCCACTGAACTATCTTCCCAGCCCTGAACACTTTTTTTTGGAATACTTATTCCCTCTGTTTTCTACTTCCCTTTTCTCCCTAAAGGATAAAGGATTCTACTTGAGATTTTTCCCTTCAGCAAACAAAAGTTGCAGCGATTGCCTTGCACGTGATTTGCACGAGGACCATTCTCAGCGTCTACAGAGTGGGCTGCAGACACTGCTTTTCCCCCGAAGTAGAGGAAAATTACAGCAACTCTGTGAAGAAACTTCCCTTACTGAGCTTAAAGCTCTCAGGTTTTCATTATGGCCCTGCTATCATTTAACATGATCAGAAGAAAGCTGTTTACACTCTTTGGTGCCTCAGTCACGTAACTATGATCTGAAGGTATTTTAATGCGTAACGTGAAGTCATGGGTACGGTAAAAGTGATTTTTTTTTTTTTTTTTCTGAGGCAGATGATAGTGACTACAAAAGTCATCTTTGGTTTCCATAAAAATACAGACAGACAAATATACATGGTTGAAGACAAACATTTTCCTTGCCTGAGTGCCACAGAAAGCCACAATTGTCACACCTGAATCTGACATTAAAACTAGTTTTTTTTTTTTTTTTTTTTTGAACATGTGCAGGCCTATTGGGGGATTTCCTTAATGCAAACTTCCTTTAAAATGCACTTTAAATTTTCATTAAAGAGACTTTATCAGGAAGAACTAAATGTCCTGATTAAAGATTTTTTTTTTTTAAATTTATTTAGAAAGCAAACTTTACACGCAGTCACCTGGTGGGGAGATCTGGCTACCAAATGAATAGGCTTCAAAGGGCCCCTAAGCCACAGATAAATATTTGCTGTTACTCTAGTACTAGGCAGGACTGGGCTACTTTATCCTTCACTTGTAAGAGTCCTTGGAGAGAAGTATTAATTACGGCCAGGGAACGTTTTCCCACTAGAGATTAATCTCACATGCCTTTTACCAGTAAGTTCCAGTCTGAAGTATGAGGATTAATTTCAGGAGTGGCATTAAGGAAGACAATTGAAACCTAAATTAGGAAGAAAGACTTGCAGAAGTAAAGAGTAGTCTTTTAAAAGTAAAATACATATATGATATGCTCTACTTTGTCTTGCATGTGCTGAAGTATAATCAATCAAACTGAAAGAGAGATAGGTCTAATTCACATGATTCACAAGGAAGACAGAAATACTACAAAATTAGTCTATGTTTTCTTCTGCTCACAACTGAATAATAACAAATAATAATTACTAAAAAGTTCTGTGTTAGGCTAGAATCTACCCCCTGTGACTTCTATTATTATTATTATTATTATTATTATTATTATTGTCCAGCTCAGGGCCTTGAGCTTGCCAGGCAGGTGCCTATGCTGCTGAGCTATATCCCCAGCCCTATCCCCTGTAACTTCCAATGTTGACCTTAAAGCTATATAAAATAAGTTCATTCCATCTTCTACATGGAAGCCTTTCAAATATTGAAGGCAGGCCATCAACTCAACTCTCAGTTTCTAGATAAAATATCTGCAGTGTCTTAAGTCACATAGAGTCTAAACCGTTCACCACCCTGGGCTGAGTTAAAAATGGCCTGTTTCATTGCTATGCATAAGCTAAAGAGTATTTTCTAGGTGTTTTTCTCTCTATAATATCAAGCAAATTCTAACCTCTATTTCTGATTTTGCTATTTTTAATTTTATTATTTTCAATCCACCTGAATTTTAAAGGATTTTGGGTAACTCAAGCAACAGTCAGATAAAAAGCTCTCTTGTCATCTCATTACAGCTATTGGGGAAGAAACTGAATTGACTGCGTGGAAAGGGGAAACGACCTGTTTCACCCATCCAAGTACTACCTAGGCCTGGCCCACTTAGCATCCAAGATCAGAGGAGATTGGGCATGGTCAGGGTGCTGTGGCCGTCCACGAAGCATGCTGTTTCTGTGACGCTGTTGATGTCACCTCTGTGCCTCCAATCATGGTGAAACAAGGATGCTCTGCTGTCCTTCAGCAGGAAGGGACAAGCTTGCTTCCACAACTGAGTCAGTGTAGCAAAAGCATCTGTGTGTGCTTCTATGACACCTGTCATTGCCATATTCGAACATGAGAAAGGAATATTTCTGGTCACATGCCAGCTAAGTGGACAGGAACCTGGCAGGTACAGCTGAGGAGACGGGAGGGCAGCAGCAGTCTACACATTCGGTAGAAAACGGAATTCGTTTCCCTGTCCCCTCAGCCATGGAAGCGACTGGCTGAGCAGGAGATTAAAGTGGCCTTGAGGACCGCAGCCGCAGGGTCAGCCCCTCTGCGACAGCCTCCTGTGGGAGCCCCAGCTCAGAGGCTGCTCACGGTGTCTGCTTGACCCTCTGGACACAGCCTGGTGCTCTGTGAAGTGGGCTTTTGAAGGAGGAGCACTAGAAAGAATCAGAAATAATATATCATTGAACTCCTGGCTGGGACTTTCCATGTGTGCCTGGCACATGTTTTGTGAAGTTTTTAGAAAGCAGGTGTGTATGGGTTCTGGTTACACAGCCGCAGGTTGGTAGTCTTTACTTTTTGAGAAGTGTAAGTAGATCGTAGGCAGAAAGAAAGATATACTTCAAGGGAATGTTTATCGGGTGAATACTGCAAATTGATCATCTTTTTAACAGGTTCTGACTTCCTAATTTAAAGGGCTTGAATAAGATTTAATTGAGATCTTAAAACTATACTATTTTAAAAGTCCATTAATTTTTTTTTTTTTTTAACATGTCTAACTGTGTAGCCTAGGTTGGTCTCGAACTCACAGCGTGTCTCGGCTGGCCTTGAATTTGCAATCCTCTCCTTCCACCTCCTGAGTGCTAAGATTAGAGCGTGCACCACCACACCCAGGAAAAGTCCATTAATCTTAACAAACTGGTCAAATAAAATTACAAAAAGTGTAAAACAAAGTCCAGGGAAGGAACTGAGAAGAGGGTGAGGAGCCTGACTCTGCATGCTCACCCCAAGCTCCCTACAGAGCAGGCTCTTCAGCAAGGTAGGTATAGGTGGACCCTTTCAGTTTTGATAAGACATTTCACTTTAGGTTCATATTTTTATCATAACACTGCCATCTAAAAGTATCTTGAAGAAGGCAATTCCTTATCATGTACTTGACATTCATAGTATTTTAAAGGAATTTATTTTTATTTATTTATTTATTTATTTTTGGCGGAACCAAGGATTGAACTCAGGCCCTTGTGCTTGCCGGGGAAGCGTTTATTCCAGTGAGCCATCTTCCCAGCCCCTTAAAGGAATTTAAAAAGTCACAACAGATAGAACTAAATAGACCCAAAGCCCATGCATTATTCTTTCTCATCTGTTTCGTTCAACTTTCTCTAATCCTTCCCTCTCTGTTATCACCTGGCTAACAGTGTGGCTGGGCTACTGCTTTAATAAAAAGAATATAATTCTTTACATTTGCTTTATCTGCTATTCAGTGACCAAGATTGATAACTAAATGCATGTCTGAAAGTGCTGAGTTAAAAATGTAGATCCTCAGCACTGTTGGGAACATTGGCAGACGACCAAAGTTAGTACAAGAAGTTTCTAGCTTACAACTGGTTCGTGTTCTAGAAATGTAGGTCAGTTGTCTGG